CGTTAAAAACGGCACGGTGCGAGCCGTGGATTTGGTTTGAAAATGGCAAAGTTGTGCATGCTTTTGCGTATGGAAGCGTTAATTGTGATAAACGGATCATAACATTCATTGTTTTAGCCTGTGTATTCACTTACTCAGTTCAGCCTGCGAAAGTCATCAGATATGTGCACGTTCACGCTCCAGGCACAAACAGAGATGTGAGATTGATGATAATGTTTTGAACGAGAGGGAGATACAGAGAACGAATTAATGCTTGAGTAGAACTGAGAGACGAAGGGAAAGAGGAAGCGATTGAGAAAGAACGGAACATAGGCTTGTGGATGAATCGAATAATTACGCCCTCTTGAAAATAAAAGTTTTTCGTTTTCTCCTAGCGGAACTAAAAAACTTGCTTTATTTTTATATATATTAATTAATTACTTTTTCTTCGTACTAATTCTTTATGTATTCCAAACGTTTCGATTGACAGTTCAATCTTCTTCAGTGGATAAAAAATGTCAATTAAATTGATTAAAATTACATTAACAAAACAAAACGAATTGAACACACAACTTTTTTTCCAAACCTTTTCCCAAAAAACTGTTTAAAACTATTTAAAAACATGGGATTGTTTTTCCTTTTTGTAATTCGAATTGACAGTCGAATTTCTTTTTCTTAACCATGCATACAGTTAATGTTAAAAATTTAAAATACATATACAATAAAATGAAATAAAATAAAATAACGTTAATAAAAGGATCGATGCAAAAGACCACTTTGAAAAGTCAACGTTAAAACATTCTGCTTTGTAATATTTATTCTCAGTTGTTTTCTTAAACTATATCTCGAGTTTTTTGTTCTCATCTCTACCTGCTTCTCTACTTTATCTTTATTACTACCTTGTTCCTTTGAGTCCGGTATTAGTTGTGTAAAAGTCTTTGCCACTACTCGATTTTATCCATCGCTTAATAGTCGATTTCCTAATAGTCGAAATTACGATTCAAAGTTGTATATACTTTTATATTAAATTTTGTTAGGATGTGCCGGAGTTTTTCCGTTACTACATGTCTATGTGGAATTAATACCATATAGGGAGGTATATCTTTTGTCTCCTCTTTTTATTTTTTATGTTCTCTACTTTTTCTAATTTTCTGGAAAATGTTTTCCACTACTCTCTGTGGATAGTCCCTGTTCCTTAAAATTTGTTTCAACCCTAACATATCTCTTTCGTTTTCTTTATTGTTATTACATATTTTTATTCTTTTTACCATATTGATAATTATATTTTGCTTCATAGCTATGATCTGAATCGAAATTTAGTGACCTATGTACAAAATGCGTTTTTTCTCGAAAACTATTTTTTTGCTCCCTTAAAGTCCATCCGATAGAGTAGAAAATTTGATCCGAGGTACCCAGGACACTATTACAGAGGTATCTTTTTGAAAATTATATTTTAGACTTTTCTTTACCGGGTTATAGGGTTTCTAAAATTGAAAAACTTGGTTTTGCGGCGTTTTCTAGTATTTTTCCTATAACTCGACTAGGAAAGGTTTTACAAACGTTTCCCAAAAAATATCTCTGTGATATGACCTTGAGTACCTGCGATAAAGTTTTTAACTCTATCGGATGAAATTTAAGAGCGATCGTAATGTGGCACAATGAAAACCCGAGTTTTCTGGAAAACTGGTGAACGCCAATAATTAAAAATTAGAAACAAAAATGAAAAAGTACTTCGTTGAGTTTCCAATCAGTTCTCAAAATATGAAGCCTTAGTGACTTTTAGTTTTCATTTCACAGCATTTCTACGGCATTCTACAGTTTTGCCTGTCTCACCCTAAACCGAAAGATAGCGGGTCGTGGATGATGTTGATTCCACCAACATCAACACAACAACGACCGCCGTTACAACAAGAACTATCGCAAATACAGCAATTACAACAAATATAAAGATTGACTAACCAATGAGATTTATTGTCTTAATATTTTCGATTTTTAATAGTTAGCTTTTTGTTCAGGTTATGTTTACGATGTATAATAGCCAACTGACTAGCTGCTTTTGACAGTTAATTTCGGTGAGAGTCAGAAAAGTCACAACTACAACCTGCCTCGATTTTACTTATGATTTTTGATGAAAATAATCAAAAATGGATTATTTCAACTCGTATAGGTTTTTACTCGGTTTTTACATTTTGTTCTGAAAACTAACATTGCTGTGAGATTTAGCATAGTTGATAACTATGTTTCCATTTGTTTTTGAGTTTCCCCAATATTAAGATTTGGAGATAGATGTATCCTCGGAAACCCGGTTTTCTAGGCCAAACCAAGCATTGTTAGGCTATATATCTATGAAAAAGAATTGGTATATCATTATGTAATATTTCAGAGATATGAAAATTCGAACATGAAAAAGATTCGCTGAAAAAGCGGTTTTCGAATTTTTTTCGACTACAGTTTTGCTTTTGAAAAGATTGGGTAGAGTGTCCTCTTTCCATTAGTGAGAATCGCAGCTCTCTACCTATCATTATCTTCGAGTTATTAAAGAAACGGCAATCTGCCTTATATTTTGGCGCAGATAGTAGCGCAGACCAAACTAGGCTAGCTTATAGAGAAAAATAAACCATCTTAAAAATTAATTTCTTCAAGGATTATAGAGATCTCATTAGCGTGTGTGTTGTTGGTTAAAAGTCAGTAAAAACAACTTTACTGTGTAACAATAAAAGATTTTTCAATGCAATTTTTACCAAATAATTTGATATTGTGTTCATCTTTGAGTAAAATATCTCGATGAAAAGTTTCTCCTGTTGAACCCAAATCGCATAACTACCACGTAAACTTGCGAGCTACTTTTTTCCCGTAGTCAATCGGACCTAGACTTGAAACTTTCCCATGTTATTTAAAATACTAAATCTATCAAAAATCGTTTCAAAATGTGTTGTGAAATTAATAATAGAATTTTGTTTCGAAACAAATTTTCAGAAATCCTTCGAAAATTCGGATAAGCTTGAAAAAATTTTCCCTTAGTAATAAATATCCCCTAATCTCAAACAATGAGACGTCTGTAAGTTCTATACAGTTTGTCGTTAAAAAGATACGAAGCCAATAATTTCTGCAGCAACATTCTTATTTTCTCATGCGTTCAGACTATTTCTGTTGTATAAGTTTACTAATAAAGCAAGATGTCTGTAACCTTTTTTAACGCCAAATTGTTGATGTTCTAGTGTTTTCTGTACCTCTTGAAATCAACACAAAAAGATATGCTAAGCTCATAAAAAGTTTGAAAATTTACTGTCTACTCACATAATGCAAGTACAAGATTGGCGGAAGCATTTTACAGTGTCAAGAATTAGTGTTGAATCAGAGAGCATTCATTTGGCGGTCGGATCCTTTTCCAGTTCATCCGTCTATTATTAGCTGAGTTTCTTTAAGTGTAGAAATTTAAGGTCATTATCGTGCATTTTTAAACAGAAATAGAACAATCATAAGATAGTGATATCTATTTTGTTCTTCTGCACCTTTATTACACAGCCCTTGTTAATCCAGCTATTATTTTTCAATATCACATTAAATATGTAGTTTAATTTTCAATCAAAATAGCTAATCGGAAGATATAAAATAAAGAAAAAATAGAACCATTGTTACAATCATCGAATTTTTGCAGTTGTAAGTCTTGCCTTTATTTGCTTCAAAGTAAGTTGACGTCAAATCAAATGTTACCGATGATTTTTTTCATAATTCAATTTTAGGATATTTTCAACTAAAACATGGAGATATATCTAGGACTAGTTTTGTTAATTATATTCGATAATATTGGTTACATACAAAGTGAAACATATACAAAGAAACCGGTTTGTATTTCAACACCTTTTTTCAACTGCACAGTTATCACGTCTTAATTCGGCCGTTCGGACGTAGCAGAGGTCCGATCAGCTAGAACTCGGTTCACGATATACAGAAATGACTCGATCCTGACTGAAAGCTACGTTCTTCGGAAATAATTAATAAAATCAGGTTAGTTACACGAGTGTTTTAAATATTTTCCCGGAAGCTTTTTCAATAGCAAATGGTTAAGAGCTGAAACTTCAGAGTGCTTTCAGGGCCAGACAAAATCGAATACTCAAACTGGATATTAGAAAAGAATTTCAGACTAGATCTGAAAAGTTTCCGAGCTAGTCTCAGACAACCTTCAGAATACGACTGGATTTTAATCAGTTCGAGTCTCTCCCCGAGACCTATCCTGTCAAAAGTGTTCATTAAAAAAGATGGGTCTGGAACTATCTAGAGGAAACTTTAAAAAAAACATCCAAAATCGTTCTTTAATAAAAAAGAAAGGTAGAATGCACGCTGATCCATCCTAAAAAAAATTGGAACGATACATGCAGATCCATCCGTTTTTGATATTCAGAGAAAGAATGCGTCTGAATGCGTGCGAACTAAATGTGTTAAGGCGGAAAATTTATTTAGAAATTCCTTCCCTAGAAGGAAGAAGAGACTGGGAAGAGTCTAGAATCCTAGGGGGCTCGCAGACATCGTACCATTACCCTGTCAAAAGTAATCGTTAAAAACGATAGATTTGCCCTGTCAACATTTTTTCGAAAAAAAGCGGATTCAGATGAGTCTTCCCGAAAAGATGAGATAACGAAGACAATCAACAAGTCCAAAAAGTCAAAAATGAATCAAGATAAGGTGCCAGCAATTCAAAACTTAAACAAAATTTATTTTCTGCAATATTTATACACGGTTGAATAGAGTTCGTCGAGCTGAACAAGACAATGTATGTTTTAACGTTTCCTATCAAAATGTTAATGTTGAAAATTTAGAAAAAACTATAAATTCTATAATTCGGGAAAACGGCTTATGTTTTAAAAGAGAACGTAAAACTCGAACACAGTGTATTTTGGAATCTTGAAAGCTTTTTATTCTTGTTCTCCGTAAAAAACTGAATGAAAAAAATAGTGTTTTGATACTATTCAAGTATGATATGACAACATTTTAGGTTTTCATCGATAGCCAAAATCCTGTGCATGTTGGCACAAAAGGTTTCAAGTCTCTCTAGATAGCAGATGAAGCCAATATTTTCAGGTAGGGTTCACTTGAACCTTTTTTTCTAGATAAATTTAACAAGTTATCTTGTTTTGGCCATTAAGTGTTAAATATTTCTTATATATAATTTCATCTGTTTAGGTTGAACTTAAAGGTGAATACATTATTGAAATAAGAGATCATCCAAATTTAGTTTTGGGTGTAGCTGACAGTTCTATTGGTACGCGGGTAACAGTCCAGAAAATGTCCCTTAATCCAAGCGGTGACCCAAAACAGCTTTGGAAATTAGCAAAATTATTTAATTATTTTAATTTTTATTTTCTTAAAAACGTTGACAGTAATTTGTATATGAATTTGGATGGAAATTCATTGATTGTTACACAACGCGAATACACGGGTAATGATGATCAATGGTTTTGGATGGATTCAATTAATGGTCTCAATGCGACTATGATTGGAAATGAATCAGAGAAACGAACAATGTATCTGAAATTTACCGATGAAAATAATGAGCCAGGTTTATTAATCATAATATAGTGGAAAGGAATCGTTTGCTTCATCTTTTTTTTATTTCATAGGTTATGAAATGCAACCATGGACAGATGATACAGAAGAAATTAAATCATTTTATGTGCATCATTTCGTGTAAAGGTACCCTGGTGAATGGGCTTTAATTTTTTACGTCACACGATTTTGTCTTTTCAGCTTGCTTAAGTTTACAAAATAAAATGTAGTTGTGTATCACGGCAAAAATAAGCTCTGTTATGAAACTATCTATGAAAATGCTACCCTTTTTGATATTGGAACTACAGAAGAAATTTTATGTGCATAAATCAGTGTCCAATGCCTATAATCCATAACCCAAGATGCGAAAGACACACATGAACAAGAAGATTACTCATCTTGGCAAAGATATTCAAACCTTTAGACTTTTGACCATTATTCAAAAGCGAGAATTGTCTTTTTTTCCAGTTTTTAATAATAATACAGAAGACAAAAAGAAACTTCGTCGCAGCAATCTGATGATTTAATTATTGCATTCTGTTTTTATCGAGAGTACAATTATACTAGCGGTTTTTAGCTAGATCAAGAGTTTGACTCGTTGTAGGAAGTTAAAGCATCACTGTTAATGACGTTTTCTGCACGCCTGTAACAGAAGACGTATAGAAAAGTAAAATTCTCAGTGAGAATGATTTAGTTACCACCCCAAGCAAAAAAAATGGAGCTAGAATCGGACGGTTGGAGCTAGATGAGTTTTGCAAAATTATTCAACCAAATATTTACAAAATTTTATGTTAGCCCAAAATTAGTAAAATTTTGCGTGTTTTCGCCAAATAAAATTTTTCTTGAAAACAATGCTAAATTTATTAATAAGACGCGTATATGTCTCTTTTAAAAGGTAACACCTCATACAAAAATAGTAGGGTGCATAAGATCAGGAACACTGATTTTCTTTAGTCATTGTACGACAAAAGATAAAGACCACAATGACTTGCTCAAGATGCGCTAGCCCCAAAAGTTATGGTTGCTGGGGATTTTGTCAGATATAGACGGTATTTTGAACACAAGCATTACCTGAGCTTTTTCATCGATAGTGTCATGTAACGATTGAGATCCGCAGCAACCATCGAATGAACTTCTAGACTGTTACTACTTACAAATGGCAGATTAAAAAAGGAAAACAAAGTATATGAAAACTTGATAAATCTGAAAAGAAAGCAAATCTTTGACAATTTCTGAACATTATGTTATGTTAAGATAGTTTTACTTACATGTGATATTTACATTAACAACAGGGAACATTTCTTCGTGTCTCTAAGAATCAACTGGCATTATTGTTTTTGTTAGTCGTAATAGTCTATAAGTTCATTCGATGGTTGCTGCGGATTTTGTCTGATTTAGACAGTATTTGGAACACAAGCATTACCTGAGCTTTTCATCGAAAGTGTCATGTAATGACTGAAATTCAGTGAACAGATGAGTCACAGCGCAAGATATACTGAAACGTTGATCAAAGGATACTGATCGTGAAATAAGCCACCCACTTTTGACGGCTTTGCAGAAAGTATTTCTTATGTCAAAAGGGACCTGGGATACGTTTTCCACTATCATACATATATATGATATTGTAGCGCAAGGAATTCTCGAGGTACCAAATCAAAGGTACAAAAGTATTCCAGTGACAGAGCACTATAGAATGCCCGGAGAAGGGTTGCTTAGTGGCTGACTTTGTTTATTTTATGTCTTTATTCATTCTCAACCAAACAAGGTCAGCGGAGGAACCCCATTATCGACCTTCAATGTACATTTAAACAGAAACGAAAAGTTAATGTTAAAAAGAAAAAAGGAAAAAGATAGACGAGCGAAAAAAAGTAAATGAACAGGCAAAAAATTTATATTTTACAGCAGCTATAGCATTTGTTAATGTAGATTAACTTATCAACGGTTATGAGTGATGATGGAGAGTGGAGGAAGAAAAACTTTTAAACGATGCGCTGCCGGTTATTTATTTATTTAATCGAAACGTTTTGTTTCATCTATGTAGATAATAACTTCCGTCAGAATACTGCGCATAAAATTAT